TGCCCAACCAAGAGCTGATTATTGAAAAGATCCTGGCACCTCCTGCCCCTCTCTCTTGCTTCCATTCTCTTATCATGTAATCTGCACATTCTGGCTCCCCTTCACTTTCTACCATGAATGGAAGCTACCTGAGGCCCTTACCAGAAGCAGATTTGGCACCATGCTTGTATAGCCTGCAGAAACATGAGCAAAATAAACCACGTTTCTTTGTAAATTACCTGGGCTCAGATATTTTATTGAGCAACAGAAACAGACTGAAATTGTTGTCTTGCTCCAGATCTTACAGGAAAGGTTTTGAGAGTAATGTTAGCTGTGGGTCTCTCATAAATGACCTTTATTGTGTTGAGTTACATTTCATTTTATTTCCTTTCTTTTTTTCTTTTTTTTTTTTTGAGAGTCTCACTCTGTCGCCCAGGCTAGAGTGCAGTGGCACGATCTTGGCTCACTGCAACCTCCTCCTCCCGGATTCAAGCGATTCTCCTGCTTCAATCTCCCAAGTTGCTGGGATTACAGACACATGCCACCACACCCAGCTAATTTTTTATATTTTTGGTAGAGATGGGGTTTCACCATGTTGACCAGGCTGGTCTCGAACTCCTGACCTCAAGTGATCCACTCACCTCAGCCTCCCAAAGTGCTGGGATTACAGGCATGAGCCACCACAATTGGCCTTACATTTCTTTTTTAAAATTTGTGTTCAAGGGTATCCTTAAAGAGCTATATGCCCTTTACACCTAATTTGGTGAATATTTTTTTGTCATCTTTCTCTGCCTTGCTCTCTCTTGCTCTCATTCTCTGCTTAGAGAATGGAAGATAAGAGAGAGTTTTTATCATAAAAGGATATTTAATTTTGTGAAATGATTTTTGGCATCTAATAGATGATTATATGGTTTTTGCCTTTCATTCTATTAATGAGGCATGTCACATTTATTGATTTGCATAAGTTGAACTATCCTTGCATTCCAGTGATAAAAATATTTCTCAAAAGAAGACATGCAAGTAGCCAACAGACAATGAAAAAATGCTCAGCATCAGTAATCATTAGAGAAATGCAAATTAAAACCACAATAAGATATAATCTCTCATCTGTCAGAATGTCTTAAAATGTTTATTATTATATTTTTAATCATCCTGTACTTTATTTTAAAACAATGTTTTCAGGAGAAAACAAAAGATAAGTGTTGGTGAAGATGTAGAGCAAAGGAAACACTTGTACACTGTTGGTGTAAATGTAAACTGGTGTAGCCATTATGGAAAACAGTATGGAGATTCCCCCCCACCCCCGAAAAAAAACCTAAAAATAGAATTATCATGTGATCTAGTCCCACTTTGGGTATTAATGCAAAAGACTCGAAATCAGTTTGTTGAAAGGATATCTGCATTCCTATGTTCATTGCAACACTATGCACAATAGCCAAATTAGGGAATCAACCTCTGCCCATCAACAGATGAATGGATTAAAAAAATGTATTGCATATACAC